CACTTACTATGTGCCAGGTACCTAAGTACATTACATGTATTTGACTAATTTAATATCCACAGCAACCTATTATGATCTTTACGTTGCATATGAGGAAACTGAGGCACACAGAATTTAAGTAACTTCAAGGGTCACACAGCTAGTAAGTGGCAGCACTGGGATTCAAACAGATAATCTGGTCTCAGAGCCTCTGTGCTGACACTGTTTGCAGAATGCATGTGAGCAAAATATTATAATGGAGATAATTTGCTCTACCATATTTTAGGTTTATCATTTGCAAATGATAGCATCTTGTTATTAATAATCAATGACTTAGAATGTATCTCACAGTTGATGGGGGCTCACTAGATATTCACAGAACTTCACCAATACGTAAGAACTTCAATGTCTTGAACAACCCCAAATGTCTAATGGTTTAAACTTAACTGGTGAAAATGCCTTGAGAATTTATTGCTTCCCTACCCAATATTATGGAAAGTAAAAACTTGGCTTTTCCATTAATTTTCAGTAAGATATTGTTGCAACAGTTTTCTTTATCTGTATTTCTATTAGAGTGAAGGTCCTTATGGTATGAAAAGTGAATATTCTCCTCTAACAATGTTTGTTATCAATGAATCAAAACTCTTTCAAATCCTGATGTTTCCTGAGTAAAAACCCAAAAGTCAAATACCTGGCCTGTGCCTGCAGGACTGTGGGAACCAAAGACAGAGTTTCAGCCTTCGGAAGTAAGAACACCACTTACTCTACTGAAAAAAAAAAAAAAAAAAAACTGCTTTGAAAAACTAATTAAAATGAGAAGTTTTAAGTGTCTCAGATGTAAAATCCTGATTATGTAAAAGGTACTTTCAAGGTGAATTTAATTTTCAGAACATCACTTGAATTAATTTAGCCTCTTAAATATCTGTCTTCTTTTCACAGAAGATATCAATAGTGGAGAAAATGTTTTATGAATTGTAATAACGTAGCTTTATGAATGATATTCAAAAGGCGTATCAGAAACAGAAAGATAAACCAAATACAATTTTACAAGAAAAAAACTTGTTTTACTTACCCTGTGTTATCTTCTGAAAGTAACTCAGAAGGTAGGCTTATTTTTTTAATCTAATTTCGTTCACCTTTAAAATGTGATTGCATTTCAAAGTAGATTCTATTTTAACAACTTCCTTTCTATAAAACATTTAAAGACAAAGTCAAGCAATGCCATCTACAGGGAGCCTTTAGAACAACAGATGTTTCTATAACCAATACTGTTCTTTAAAATACCTATAATCTGACATATCATATTTCACATCATTTAACAAGGAAATTTTCAAGAAAGGTAAAAAAAAAAATTAAAAGATATGCTGTGTAAAAAAAAATTCCCTGCCGGGCGCGGTGGCTCACGCCTGTAATCCCAGCACTTTGGGAGGCCGAGGCACGCGGATCACAAGGTCACGAGATCGAGACCTTCTGGCTAATACAATGAAACCCCGTCTCTACTAAAAACACAGAAAATTAGCCGGGCGTGGTGGCGGGCGCCTGTGTTCTCAGCTACTCGGGAGGCTGAGGCAGGAGAATGGCGTGAACCCGGGAGGCGGAGCTTGCAGTAAGCGGAGATCGCGCCACTGCACTCCAGCCTGGGCGACAGAGTGAGACTCCGTCTCGAAAAACAAAAACAAAAACAAAAAATTCCCACTATCATTCTGGATTAGTAGTTCTTACTTAAAAATAACCTAGGCCGGGTGCGGCGTCTCACGCACATAATCCCAACACTTTGGGAGGCTGAGGCGGGTGGATTGCTTGAGGTCAGGAGCTCAAGACCAGCTTGACCAACATGGTGAAACCCCATCTCTACTAAAAGTACAAAAATTAGCTGGGTGTGGTGGCAGGTGCCTGTAATCCCAGCTATTACGGAGGCTGAGGCAGGAGAATCGCTTGAACCTGGGAGGCGGAGGTTGCAGTGCGCCAAGATCGCACCATTGCACTCCAGCCTGGGTGACAGAGAGAGAGTCTGTCTCAAAACAAAACAAAACAAACAACAAAGAAGTAATTTCCTTTCCAACTTCACCAAACATATGATCCATGGACCCTTGGTTGTAAACTGTGGCAGATTAAAATGCAAAGCTATGCAAACTCAGAGAGATTTAAAGTTATAACTGGTGTACAGAAGAGACTCAAGTCATTGGAGACTAGACCTGCAACAATTTTTAACTGTCGAATCTCCCTTCCTTCTTGATTAGCATCACCTTTGCCTTCTTGGCCAGATTCTCTAAATTTTCAGATTATATTTATAGTCTATTTCAGTTTTCAAAGCTCAGTTCTGTTTATTTTAAAACCTCCTATTTCATACAAGATTCCACATCGGATTCAAAGTGGTTTTTTTCCATATGTACGATAGGCCCACTCTATTCACAGATGGTTTGCTTTTTATATACTTTCTTCTTTGTTCTCTTCTCCTTGGGAAGTAGATGCTAAAAGAGGTTTCCTTGTTGCAGTGGTTCTCAATTTAAGGCTAAACATTAAGACCATCTGGAACCCCTTAACAAAAATACTATGCCTTTGATTAAACTGGACTGGGATAGGGCCTGAGCCTGGGTTTTGTGTGCTTTTAATTTTTCACATATAGCCTGGTTTGAGAAACACTGCCTTACTGTGCAATTGCAACCCTTTCCCTAATTGGCTATAACTGCATTCTGGTAAGTGGTTTACGGGCTCCATTGTGCAGAGGTAAGCCATACTCGCCCAGAGGCCAAGGCATTGGCAGTCCCTTGGGATTTGGGAATTAGCTATGTCCTGGCTGAGCCCCAGCTGGTGGCATCACCTCATCTGTTGCACTTGCCTTTTAAATGTCATCCCCTCCTTCATATTGCAGAAGTCTTCTAACCCTCAACTCCTGCATCATTTCTCAGGCTGGCAGGGTGCATCTTCAATACCCCTCAGCCTTACAGTTCCCACATCACTCCTCCAATTCTATCTCTGTGCTTTGGAATCTGCTGCTGGTGCGTAAACACAAAGCCAACCAGTAAGAGAAATACTGGTCTCCCATACTTGCAAGCATCTTGAATCTCTAGTAACTTCCTCAGGCCTTCCTCCTGTGGTTTTGTTTTTTCGAGATAGGGTCTGTCACCCAGGCTGGAGTGCAGTGGTGCAATCATGGCTCACTGCAGTCTCAACCTCCCTGGGCTCAGAACCTCCCACATCAGCCTCGCTAGTATGGATGGGACTACAGGCGTACACCACCACAACCAAGTAATTTTTTGTATGTTTTGTAGAAACAGGGTCTTGCTATGTTACCCAGCCTGGTCTCAAGCTCCTTGGCTCAAGTCATTTGCCTGCCTTGGCCTCCCAAAGTGCTGGGATTACAGGCATGAGCCACCTCACTCAGCCTCCTCCTGTGGTTTGTGAGTGCAGGTACAATCTGTTACTCCTCCACATTTGAAAGCCCAAAAGACTAAATTACATTCCCTAACAATGGACTCCTCCAAGAGACCTCTTCAGGGCTCCCCAGCTGTCTGTGGAATAGTGGTTGGTGATGGAGCATGTTCTCTGAACTGGCAGCCTTCAGTTAAACCCTGTAGCTTTCACTGGGCCTAACCACCACTGGTCTAATTTTAGAATGTGAGGATTGGCACCTTATGACTTCAGTTTTGGCTTTATTCCAGAACAGGAAAGATATCCTATTTGACTTTTTTTTTTTGAGACGGAGTCTTTCTGTCACCCAGGCTGGAGTGCAGTGGCTCCATCTCAGCTCACTGCAGCCTCCACTCTGGGGTTCAAGCAATTCTCCTGCCTCAGCCTCTGAAGTAGCTGGGATTACAGTGCACACCACCATGCCCGGCTAATTTTTGTATTTTTAGTAGAGACAGAGTTTCACTATGTTGGCCAGGCTGGTCTCCAACTCCTGACCTCAGGAGATCAGCCCGCCTCGGCCTCCCAAAGTACTAGGATTACAGGCGTGAGCCACCATGTGGGGCCTATTTGACTTTCAATTACAAATTTCCTCTACAGTCAGTACTTAGGTGAGTTCTCCAGAAGCAGAGAGGAATGTATGCAAACATTTATCAAGATAAGGAATACGAATAGCCGAACAGGAAGGGGGAGGAAGTCAAGCAAGAGTGTGATTTTGGCAAAGTTGCATAGAGGCTGACTTCAGGCTGATTCCTCCAGGAAATGACTGAAGTTTCATTTTTCTGAACTAAAAGAGCTGGGTTTTCAAATAAGTAAAATCAAGGGCTAAACTAAAGTTCAGGCCGAAGACACACAGATAGTGTGTATTAAAAGAGGGCCAGGTACAGTGGCTCATGGCTAGTAATCCCAGCACTTGGGGAGCTAAGGAGGGTGGATCACTTGGGTGCAGGAGTTTGAGACTAGCCTGGGCAATATGGTGAAACCCTGGCTCTACAAAAAATACAACAAAGCTAGCCAGGCGTGGTGGCACACCTGTATTTCCAGTTACTAAGGAGGTTGAGGTAGGAGGATCACCAGAGCCTGGGAGGAGAAGGCTGCAGTAAGCAAGACTGTGCCACTACTGCACTCCAGCCTGGGCAACAGAACAAAACCGTCTCAAAAAAAAAAGTAGAGAGAAAGCAGGAGGGCATAAAAATTGGAGGGTGAAAAGATATTTAACTAACCTGGGTGGACTACTATAGTCAAGGTCAAACTTATTTTTACAAATTTCATGTTATAAAACAAGCTAAAAAGTGGTCATTTGTCCTAAGACATCATTAATAACAGCTAGCACTATCTGTACCTCACAAAGCACCATACATTTAGATTATACTGCCTTGCAAACTGCTTAATGAAATGCTAATGGCAGTATGAACAAAATATTTTGGGGGGGGAACCTCCAAAAATCAGCAATGGAGACTTTTAAGACTGAAATAAACCTGAAAAGAATGAACTGATTTCTTGACTTGCATCCTTAATGTCTCTAAATAGGACTGCTTTTGCTCTTTCTGGAAAGCAGTTAACTGCTTAGATGTTTACTTTCTTCAGAGGTATTTCTGAAATTCACAAAGTCACAAGGTCTCAAAAACAATGTTTATTTTAAGACGTAAAATGTACCATCTAGCACCAATGCCTGTAAATACCAAAATTCTATCCGGTTACTACTCTTTGGAACAAATATGATTCAAGTCCTTGACAGATTATTGTATATGAGCAAATGGCTTCATAACAAAAAACAGAGACACAGAACAAAAATTCATTTGGTATATACATACAGAACTACATTTGTAGTTATTCAAAAACCTTTCACTGTTTCATATAAACAAGTTAATACCAGTATTTTTAAGCCAGATTTTCCTGGAACATATACATAAAGAAAAGTACATGAGCCACGTAAGTCCATAAGCCTGAAACTGGTCTTTCTATTCTCACTCCATTATCAAATGAAAAATCTGTAAAGATATCTTTTGTTCCTCCAATCTTCTGATTTGTCTTCTTAGCAACTCATTACAATATAGTTTACTGATTAAATCACACAGATATATATGGTGGAGGAAAAGAAAACTTTGGCTAATATAAGTATACAAGACAGTATCTCAGTTCTTCTTAAAATTAAAAGAACATTTAAGTATTAACAATATTTTAAAAGAAATGAAGTGGAAAATACAAATGATAAATATTGTATAATTATGTACAAAATGAAAACCTGTTAAACTTTGGAGACAAACTAAAATTTACTAGTTTGAATTTAAAACATTATTATATAATAGTAGACAGTTCTCTTCAGAAATTTATCTCTAGTTTCCTATAAAAGGTCAAGTCAATCATACTGGTTCACTGTTTTTGGCAGATTTTAGCCTCGCCTCAAAACCAATTTTTATTTGAATAACTTATTCCCAACATTTCTTTTAAGTAGAACTTGATGCTGAACTAAGTAACCTAAGCTAGATTCAGGGCCATTGGCAGGCAGGCAGGTAAGCAGGCATTTTTCGTATTGCAGGCAGCCCATTGTGGTCATCATTTATACATCGGCTCTCTAAGGATGTGCCAGAAAAAAATCTGTGAACACAATCTTCCCATGCTGTATTCACATCTTTAGTTCACCCAGGTTGTTAGAGGCTTGGGTAAAATGATTAAAGGCTTCACGATGTAAATTTCTATAAGGAAAAAAAAGGAAACTTAAAAGATTAATTTACCACAAACTATTTACAGGGTATTTAATAATGCCTAATAGGCCTCACAATGCCAAGTATGCCTAACAGTGGTTACGTGCAATTCAAGTGAACAACCATGCATGTTTATAGATGGTTCCTCGCTGACACCTAACAGGCAAGTGAAGAAAGAACAGATGCACTGGACATCATCAAAATTAAAATACTCGTGCTTCAAAAGACACACCATAGGCCGGGTGTGATGGCTCACACCTGTAATCCCAGCACTTTGGGAGGCTGAGGCAGCAGAGCACTTGAGGCCAGGAGTTCGACACAAGCCTGGCCAACATAATGAAACCCAATCTCTACTAAAAACACAAAAAAATTAGCCGGGCATCATGGCACATGCCTGTAGTCCCAGCTACTTGAGAGGCTCACACAGGAGAATCACTTGAACCTGGGAGGCAGAGGTTGCACTGAGCCAAGATCAAGCCACTGCACTCCAGACTGGGTGACAGTGCAAGACTCTCTCAAAAGAAAAATAAGAAAATAATAAAGAAAATAAAAGACACACTATCAAGAAAATGAAAAGACAACCCACAGAATGGGAGAAAATATTCACAAATCATGCATCTGTAAGTGTCTAGTATTCAGAATATATAAAGAACTCTCACAACTCAAAAGCAAAAAGACAAATAAATCAATCTGAAAATGGGCCAAGCATTTCTTCTAAATACAGAAAAGATACCCAACATCATTAGTCATTAGAGAAATGAAAACCACAGTTTAGGGACTATCTCATATCCACTGAGATGGGTATAATTAACAAATGTTGGTAAAAATGTGGAGAAAACTGGAACCCTCATACACTGCTGGTGAGAATGTATAATGGTATGGTAGATTTGGAATACAGTTTGCAAGTCTTCAAAAAGTTAAACAGAGGTCCCATATAACCTTGCAATTCCTCTAAAATATTCAAGAGGTCTGAAAATATGTTCACACAAAAATTCGTAGATGAATGTTCATAGCAGCATTATTCATCTCATCAACGGATGGATAAGGTGTGGTATAGCCATATAAAGGAATATTATTCAGCCACAAAAAGGAGTTAAGTGCTAATATGTGCTACAATGTAGATAAGGCTTGAGAATACCATGCTGAGTGAAAGAAGACAGGCACAAGAGACCACATAGTATGTGACTCGTTACATATGATGAGCAGAATAGGCAAATCCATAGAGAGATTAGTGGTTGCCAGCAGCTGGGGACAGGGGTAACAGGGAGTGACTGCTAATGGGTAAGAGGCTTCTCTGTGGGGTGACGAAATCGTTTAAAATTAGAAAGTGGTAATTTACACAACTATTTGAATATACTAAAAACCACCAAACTGTACACCTTAAAAGCATGAATTTTATGGTGAATTACATCAACTAAAAAATAGGTGGGTTTTTTTTGCCAAAAGAAAAAAAAAGCCTTTATATTCAGGAAACACAAAATCTTTATGTCTCAAAAAAAATTCTACTTTTAAAACTGCACAACAGCTTCAGTTAAAATGGATCTCTTAAAGCACCAAGTTTTAATTTTTTTGTATCTTTGGCACCGTGCCACATAAATGTTAATCTGAATAATCCCACTGCTGCCTTTTTACTTAGATTTAGTCCTAACACCTACTTTTGTTCCCTAAAACTAAGTTTTATTTGCTTTTGACTAGAATTCATATAATCAGAAAACTTTATCACAAACATAATCAAAGATGATAGAAAAAAGTGTGGGCTTATTGAATCTAGCATCCTTAATTCATAAAAGTAATCATCTCCCTGCCTTACACTAGTTACATATACCAAAGGTGCTGGGAATACAAAAATAGATGAAAGGGCCAGGTGCAGTGGCTCAGACCTGTAATCCCAACAATTTGGGAGGTCGAGGTGGGCAGATCACTCGAGTCCAGGAGTGCAAGACTAGCCTGGACAACATGGCGAAACCCCCCACTCTACAGAAAAAAATACAAAAATTAGCTGGGCATGATGGTGCATGCCTATGGTCCCAGGTACTCAGGAGGCTGAGGTGGGAGGATCATTTCTTGAGCCTGCGAGGCAGAGGCTGCAGCAAGCCGAGATTGCACCCCTGTACTCCAGCCTGGATGACGGAGTGAGACCCTGTTTCAAAAAAAAAAAAAAATGGAAGAAGTACAATTCTTCCCTCTTTCTACAGGTTCAAACCCTAGGTATCACTGAGGCAACCTGCATAAAATGTGATTATTATACCAGGTAAAACATGCACCAAGAAGGGGGAAGATACATAAATTCTACTTAATTGAGTACATTTATCTTTTATTTATTTATTTATTTATTTATTTTTTGAGACGGAGTCTCGCTCTGTCGCCCAGACTGGAGTGCAGTGGCGCGGACTCTGCTCACTGCAAGCTCCGCCTCCCGGGTTCGAGCCATTCTCCTGCCTCAGCCTCCCGAGTAGCTGGGACTACAGGCGCCCGCCACCACACCCGGCTAATTTTTTGTATTTTTTAGTAGAGACGGGGTTTCACCGTGTTAGCCAGGATGGTCTCGATCTCCTGACCTCATGATCCGCCCGTCTCGGCCTCCCAAAGTGCTGGGATTACAGGCTTGAGCCACCGCGCCCGGCCACATTTATCTTTTATGGACTCATCTGCCTTGCTATATTTCATTTTCTGTAAAAAATTTTTAATAAGTTCACAAAGAGCTAGCATTTTAAAATCTCACAGAGATAAAAGAAACTTATAAATAGCTAATCACTTGTTTGAGGTAATACCCAATTATAGAGCTATACAAATTACACCTATGGAAAAGCTGGAAAAGGCCTTTAAAAGAGAAGCCTGGCCACATATGGTGGCTGATGCCTGTAATCCCAGAACTTTGGGAGGCCGAAGTGGGCGGATCACTTGAGCCCAGGAGTTTGACACCAGTCTAGGCAACACAGTGAAACGTGTCTCTACTTAAAAAATACAAAAAAAGAAAAAAGAAAAAGGAAAAAAAAAAAAAACCTGACTTTAGAGCAAAAACCCAAGGCAAGATAGATTAAATTATCTTGACACTATTAAGTTAGTGCCTGAGTCCAGTGAATCATTATAGCTGTTTCTCCACATCAAAATCAACGCCCATACCACACATATGCCCTAAAATAGAGTCCAGCTGATGAAGCCTCCTTGGAGAATGAAGAACTGAGAATGTTATTTACCGACTTTTTCTTTCTGATGTATATAATATGAATATCTTCACTTCGATACTCTTCATCATGTTTTTCCAAAGGAATTTCTTCAAAGTCAAAGTCTAGCTGAAGGAGCTATAAATTTAAGAGACATACTTCAAATTCAGTAATATGAATTGACCTGTGGGTGACAGAAGTCAGAATCGTGGTTATCTTTTTTTTTGAGACAGTCTCACTCTGTCACCCAGGCTGTCGTGCAGTGGTGCGATCTTGGCTCACTGCAACCTCCGCCTCCTTGGGTTCAAGCGATTCTCCTGCCTCAGCCTCCTGAGTAGCTGGGATTACAGGAGTGTAACACCACACCCAGCTAATTTTTGTATTTTTTGTAAAGAAAGGATTTCACCATATTGGCCAGGCTGGTCTCAAACTCCTGACCTCGTGATCCGCCCATCTCGGACTCCCAAAGCGCTGGGATTACAGGCATGAGCCACCGCGCCTGGCCAGTGGTTACCCTTTGAGGAGTATTGCCAGTGTGCAAACCTTCCAAGATCCTGAAAATGTCCTCTATCTTTATGTTGGTAATAGTCACTTGGGTGTATACACATGAAAAATTAAGCTCAGCACTTGACTGATAGGTATGCATTTTACATATGCTTTATCAGTAAAAGCTGTTTAACAGTACAAAATTTTCATTATGCATCATTTCAAAACATGAGCATTTTTCATATTCAAGAAAAACATGAAAACAAAAAAAACATTTTAGTATATGTTACCTGAGGCAGTCATATACCTGCTGTCTCATTAAACCAAAGTAGTCCTTTCAGCAGACAAAACTGCAGGCCTATATAGATGTACCCTCAAAAGTGTACTCACAGTGTGACAGCAGATAGAAATCCACTCACAATGTGATAGATTTGTGTCCATAAAAAGGGTTTGGGTTATCACTAGGGGAAGAAGAGTGACAGATACATAAAACCCTATATACTATATTTGCAACTTCGTGTAAGTCTTTTCTAACTACTTCAGAACAAAAAGTTAAAGAAAAAAATAAGACCCTAAAAATAGACAGGTATCTAGGTTGGAGGTTTCATAAATATGTAGACAAAAACACAGAAGTAAAAACTTATCACTTGGCAACATGGGAAAACCCCATCTCTACAAAAAAACACAAAGAGTGAGTCGGGTGTGGTAATACATGCCTTTTGTCCCAGTTACTTGTGGGGGCTGAGGCAGAAGGATCACTTGAGCCTAGGAGGTTGAGGATGCAGTGAGCCCTGACTATGCCACTGCACTCCGGCATGGGCTATAGGGTGAAACCCCGTCTCAAAACAAAAACAAAAACAAACAAACAAACACAACTTATCACCTGCACATTTCTATCACGCATTCTCCAAAGGTAATACATACATCATTAATATGTTCCCCAAAGGCAGCATCATGTGGAATAAACACTGAATACTGTTCTTAAAAAGGAGCGGCACCAGTATTATTTAACATTCTTCTGTAGCCATAGATCAACTAATTAGAAATGAAATAAAGGATCAGAAAAGATGAAAAAGGGGAGCTCTGCAGAATCATGGGCTGTGAAGATCCTTTTCTCAGCTTCACACAAACAATGTTTTCCCCACCCCAAATTACCATAAAATACTTGAAGAGTCACATACAGCCTCCCTGAAGGGAAATCACTACAAAGATAATACAGCACTTAATACTTACCTCAAAATATTTTTTCTCAATTTCTGGATTTTTTCCCATTGTTCGTTGTTCATAACAACATATAATACAAGTTTCAAATCCACTGATATCTTTTAGAGTTTTCAGCAATGGCTCCAAAGACTATTTAAAAAAGAATATACTTTTTGTTTATGATTTAAAAATTTTTTCTACTCTAAAAGTGGGCTGAGGTGGTAGAGGGATATTTATAGCTCCCCTGCAATTTATCCATCTTTGAATCAATCCAACAAAGTACATGTAATCAAATCTCTAGGCTAGGTGTGGTGGCTCACACCTCTAATATCAACACTTTGGAAGGCAGAGATGAAAGATTGCTTGAAACCAGGAGTTCAAGACCAGCCAGGAGAATACAGCGAGAGACACCCCACCTCCACACACACCTTACAAAAAGTTGAAAAATTAGCCAGCATGCTGGTGCACACCTATAGTCCTAGCTATTGAGGAGGCTGAATGGGAGGACTGAGTCTCAGGGGCTCAAGGTTACAGTGAGCTATGCTCACTCCACCGCATTACAACATGTGTGACAGAGCAAGACCCCTACCTTAAAACAAACAAAAACCCCTCTGTAACTAACGATTGGGTAAGCTCCTCTTAACTAAACCATGTGCTGATTTCGGTTTCCAGAAAAAGGATTCAGACAACTGCATTTTGGAGTTCTCATGGAAAAACAAATGTAATCAACTTTACTCAAGAGTTTAATTTTATGTAATTTAATTTGAGATTTAAATAATCAACAATTTACCCTACAAAAGTTAAATCTGACCCTAACTTGGTTCAATGCTAATTATTTTTAAAATAACTAATGCCCACAACACTATACAAACTGATGCACCTTTTTTTTTTTTTTTTTTGGGAGACGGAGTTTTGCTCTTGTTGCCCAGGCTGGAATGCAACGGCGCTATCTCAGCTCACTGCAACCTCCGCCTCCGGGGTTCAAGCGATTCTCCTGCCTCAGCCTCCCAAATAGCTGGGATTACACGCATGCACCACCACGCCAGGCTAATTTTGTATTTTTAGTAGAGACAAGTTTTGTCATGTAGGTCAGGCTGGTCTCGAACTTCCGACCTCAGGTGACCACCCGCCTTGGCCTCCCAAGTGCTGGGATTACGGGGGTGAACTACCGCGCCCGGCCCCAACTGTTATTTAAAGCAAAGAACAATGAATTATTTACAACTTAATTCTCAATGTCATGGTTAACATGTTCCCTGGGAACAACCAAGGGAAAAAGAGACGATTTTGGCTTTTCATAACATCCAATTGACAAAATCCTTTAAAATTTTTACAGAAGCCGTGAGTAAAATGCATGTAACACTTTTCTCAACATGCTTCACCAGGCCAGTATGTTAATGATGAGCATATATACAAATGGTTCATGGTGACTTTTATCTTTTCTTTACTGCATCAACCATAAGGCAAATCCCGCATTCAAAGATGTTAAAATGTGAAGAAACGTGTCCTTCAGAATCCATGAAATATGGTTCATCTTCTAAATGAAGATATTTCACTCACTGAATACTTACCTCTTCATAGTATATGCAGTCGGCCATCAGTATATAGTCGGGTGGAGAAGGAAAGCCTTCTATTTCTTCCCCCCTTAAAAATGTCAAACAAATATTTCAATTGTTGTTTTAATAATTCAAAATACTCTTGTTTTATAAAGGACCGAAAAGTCCCCTTCCATCCTTTTAATGAAACGCAATTTAAAACAAACTACAAAACGATATCTTAAAACAAGCTGAAAGGCCATACAAACCATTTCAGTACCTTGGCTTGAACAGAACCAGTGACAAGATGCTTGTTCATATTAATATTCATCTTCAGCAAGTCTTGCAATTCCTCAAGATCGGTGACTACAACATCAGCCCTATAAAATAACGTCGACTGAGGTGTAAGCACAGGCGGGAAAACCTGTAATCTGGATTTCTCCAGCAAGAAGGTGCCCCCACATCCCGCCCGCCCGTCAGCTCTTACCCAAGGGTAGCGGCCATGAGCCCCACGGCCCCGGTACCCGAACCCAGCTCCAGCACCGACCGCCGGCTCAGCGCGTGGGCCCCGTCGCCAGAAAACTCGGGCGTTTCCAGGTATTTAGAAAGGACAATGGCAGCGTCCCAAACAACGCAACCCACGCCGCCGGAGCCATACTGCTGTAGTCGTAGCACCGTACCATCCCGCTTCTCCAAAACGCGAACAAAGCTCCGCAGTGGGTCCTCCAGCAAGGACTCCGACATACCCGCCATCGCGGCCGGCAACAAAAAGCGGCGCGCGCAGACACGTCACATCAACGCGCACCGCCCCGCCCTGCGGCTCCGCCCCCTCCCCGCGGCTGAGTTGAGGCCGCAGCGCGCGTGAGTTAACAAAGCCCGGAAGGCGGCGTTACCTGGGCGGGGCCGAATGTGGGGCTCCGCCTTTCCCGACGCGCTTGGCAGTCCCCGCTCTACTCTAAATCACACGTTTGGCTTAACGAAGAGGCAGTTTAAATCACTTTTCTTGACAAAACTACTATTATAATCTGCTCTTTAAAAAACAAAGCCAACCTCAGAGTTTACCTAGTTGGAGACTTGATTTACAGAGTAGTTACAAGGCTTAAATGCAAGCAGCTTCCAAGATCCTACAAAAGATGGCTATAATCTTACAATCTTCCCTTTCAAGTTCCTAGTATGCTCCTAGTTTTTTGTATGAATTCATAGAAGTGGTTGCTAGAAGCCTGCAGCTCACATTTAACACTGAAGAAAAATGTGTGTGTGTGTGTGTGTGTGTGTGTGTGTGTCTGTGTGTCTACAGGGCTCAACAATCTCCCCCTTTGTTCCTTATAATGAAAACACATATTTTAAAAGTCTTTTAAAAATTAAGACTGGGGTGATTTATTAATCTTGTTAAGAACTCTGATACAAAGCACAGTAAAAGGCCACAGACCAGTAAATAAACAATGTGGCTTTTGGCTACTTTACAACTGCTGCTACAGCACTATCAGCAAAGCACTCTTTATCACTTTGAACAAAGGCATCCAAATGGCAAATAAAAGTTTTACTCACTTATCTGATTAAAACATTTAATAAAGCTTTAAGTATTTGCTGGTTTAAATATTACCAATCTAAAAAATATATTTTAAAAAAAATTTCAGTTAACACGAGATTTATAGAGAAAGTTACTAGGTGTTGAAGACAAGGCAGTTGGTTCCTATGCCATAGAATTTTTTTTGAATTTATGAATTAGTAAAGTAGCAGATTGTATTATAGGCCTCAAGTCACTTAAATTTATATAGGTTATTAGCAGTATCTTTAAATATACAATATAAACAAAACTGTACATACATGGCATATTAACTGTTTTCCATAATAGGCAATTCATTAGCTAAAGACATCATAGTCTGCAAAAACAAAAGGCACATCTGAATGAGATACATGCCCTTTTTACCTCCATCATTGGGTTATGTAGTCTTTGATTACATTTTGACAAAATAATAAACACTTACAGTGCCATTCTATTATTTTCATCCTACTTTTCATTTTTGTCTTCAGCAGCAAATACCGGCATTTAAGACATGGAATTAAAGAGTTTAAGAACAGTTGGTGTTATTCACAATTCTCCTAGATGTAAAAACTAGAAGTAAAAACTAGAAGATGGTCAAAGAGGTTTAAAAATCAGTAACACCATATACCCCTCCCATATTTGTGTAAATTCACTGCCTTAAAAAGGCATCTATTACTCAAATTTGAAAAATTTCACAAAAGCACTATCCCTTTTCAGTGCAATCATGTCACTTTAAACCATATTTTTGCAGAGTTTACAGTGCAAATATAAATTCTTTATACTGGCCTTTTGGCAGCACTGAGGATCCAAGACAAGGCAATGCTACTGATCACCTGAGGATAATGGTGAAGGACTTTTGTATTTTTATTTTTCCAATTCTTAAAAGCTTATTTGATCAGTAGCATTTTTGTAAGAGCATTATTTGTAAAAAGTACTAAAATACTATGTCTTTTTTTGAATAAATTAAAAAAAACTTTACAAATACCATTCCAGTGTCAATGACTACATATGGCTAAGGTCATTGGGGAGTTTCTGCATTTTCTAGCAAAGGCAGTCTGTACAATGGGGGGTGCGAAAGCTCCCGTTTGTAAGTCTTTGGTGGCAGTTTTGGCAGATGAGGGCTTGAATTCTGCCTTGGTGGAACAGGGGGAGCTGGAGGATGAGCAAGATTATTCTGACTAGAACTGAGCACATAGCATCGACGTGGTACCCTTGGAGAGGGTGTGCTAGGAGGAGTGCTTGGCGAATTTGGACACGTACTAATGTCTCTGAGCCAGTCTGAATCTCTGTGAAGATGCCCCAGTGGAGGTGGCTGAAGATTAAATGGACAGTTTATAAAGTGTTCTGGAGGCCGAAGGGGAACCGGTGGAGGGGTATCAGGAAGAGGATCTCTTGGTGGTGGTGGAGGTGGACTATGCAGAGGCCCATCAAATGCACCAGTAGGAACAGGAACTCTGGGTTTTACCTTGGGAGGAGGAGGCTGTCTCGGTGGAATAGCAGGAGGATCATCATCAGATTTCATATTTCCCTCAAAAAAAAAAAAAAGTAATTAAATTATACATCTATTCTCCTGAAAAATTTTTTAAAATTTTAAGTCTGAAAAATTCTTATGTATCAAGTTAAATTCAGAGGCTCAAAATAAACTAATCTGGGTTAATTATCAGATTATGAGTGTTCCTAGTTTAATTCAGGGCTGAGTTTAATATTTTTATATGTGAGATGTTTTAATTTGTCTTAGAACATAACTCTTTATCTTGCTTTGTGTATACATTTCAGAAATTTATGTATTTTAATTATAATAATAGGTAAGTGACAATTTATTGCTTTATAGACATGAAAGGACATGATGTCAAGAGGATTTTAATGTCTAGCTTCTGCTTACTGGGCATCTACTGCTCCTTTCTCCAATGAAGCTTAGAGCAGTAGATCTCAAAGTGTGATCCAGGGACCAACAGCATCAGTAACAGTAGGGAACTTGTTAGAAAAGCAAATTCTTGGGCCCCATCCTAGACCTACTGAATCAGAAACTCTGGAGGTGGGGCTCCACAATCTGATTTTACCAAGCCTTTTAGGTAATCCTGATGCACCCTTAAAATTTTGAGAAGCATTAGTTGAAAGTTTGAAGAATGCTTGGAATACTACTAAAGGTTTTTTCCACCTGTACCAGAAAGAAAATGTACTTCCAGCCTCTTTTTCATTTTTAGTTTTTGAGATGGAGTCTTGTTCTGTCGCCTAGGCTGGAGTGCTATGGTGCAATCTTGGCTCACTGCAACCTACCTCCACCTCCCAGGTTCAAGTGATTCTCCTGCCTTAGCCTCCTGAGTAGCTGGGGTTACAGGTGCCCACCACCATGTCCGGCTAATTTTTGTATTTTTAGTAGAGACAGGGTTTCACCATATTGGCTAGGCTGGTCTTGAACTCCTGACTTCAGGTGATCTGCCTGCCTCAGCCTCCCAACCAGTGTTTTTTTTTTTTTTTTTTTTTTTGAGACAGAGTTTTGCAATTGTTGCCCAGGCTGGAGTGCAGTGGCACAATCCTGGCTCACTGCAACCTCCACCTCCCAGGTTCAAGCGCTTCTCCTGCCTCAGCCTCCCTAGTAGCTGGAATCAGAGGCACCTGCCACCACACCCAGCTAATTTTTTGTATTTTTAGTAGAGATGGGGTTTCATCATGTTGACCAGGCTGGTCTTGAACTCCTGATCTCAGGTGATCTACCCGCCTCGTCCTCCCAAAGTGCTGGGATTACAGGCATGAGACACCGTGCCTGGCCCAGCCTCTTATTTAGAAAAGGTTTTTATAAGGATTAAACAACTAAAAGTATTTTTCAAATATAACAACCCAAATGTTGAAAAACCATAAATGGTAGCCAAAGTATAATTCACAGACTCTTTATAACACCGGGCATTATTTTGAAGATTCACAACTTTGAATAAGTTGGAGTAAAGTCCTGTTGATTACCTTGGAATTTGAAGCATCATGATCAAACTTTTTTCGAGGAGGAAGAGGAGGAGGAATCAGGGGCTCTTCACTTAGTTTATGTAAACTACCACATGAACTAAAGAAAGACTCTGGGGGAGAAAAAGACTAGTTTAACCACAATTCACAGTATAATTATAAGATAAACCTTTATCACAGCTTCTGGTCGATACTTCTACTATGGCATTTGTCAGACTATCGACTATTGGTTTATCTATCTTCCCCATTAAATTGTAAGCTTTCTGAGGGCAGTGTGTATTTATTTCTGTATCTCTAGCACCTACCACAGTGCCTGGGGCATGATGGGTACTTTAGCTAAATGAAGGTATACCATTTAATTATGATTAATGAGATTCTGCTCCCTGAAAAGTCTTTCACAAATCAAAACATGTCTAGATATACTGTAGTAACTTCCAAAGAAAGACCATCCTAATCAGAGACCATATATTTTTGAAGCAGCTACGATTGGGCCCATCACCACACAGGTAATAAAACCCTCCATATAGGAGCCCATAAGGTAGTGTTACATCACATAACTCTTTGTCTTTGCAAGTCTCTCATTGATAATGTACACGTTATATAATCACATTAAAGGAAATTTACAAAATGATGACAGGAAAATACCCCTAAACAGATCAACCAGACATATAATAATTACTATCTTCATTTTTACTTTTTCTATAGTTCAACTTCCCATTTGATCTCTCTATATTCACACTGCTGTTACAAAGGCAGTAACTATGTCATATTTTTCATTATACTGAGATCGGGAACACAGGAGCTAACTGGGAAAGAAGTTGATGAGTTTAACCTTAAACACTCTAACTGAACTGCTTATGAGACATCCAAGTAGATATGTCAAACTAATTATTCTGTGTCAAAAATTGCTATCCTGATCATGTGGCTCTGCAGTTACCTCTGGGCGGGGGGCGGGGGGGGGGAGGAGGGCATCCTGTTGGCTCAGGGGGAAACAGCTGATACAAAAGGTATGCTTATGAGGTTGGCAGATGGTGAGGGAAGGTTAGGCAGACGATGTTCCTCAGACCTGCCAGCATTGTTTGTGCAGTCTTTGGGAGAACTCCTCTCGGTAGTGCTACATCTGTCCCATTTGGTTTAGTTGGCCAATCCTGCCCAGGGCACCCCAATTCAAGCCAAGGAGTAGGCATGGGACTCACTTTCTTAACATGATCAGATTTTTATCTACCTCTCTTTCATGCAAGTAGCCATTTTTTTAGGGAAAGCGAACCTGACCCCTTAGCTCCAGGGATGGGGCCTAATTAGTATAAATCAATCAGAGTAATCCCATTCCTTTAGCCAGAGTGATGAGTTTAACTGTAGGCATGTGACCTAATTCAGACCAGTGAAATTTAAAAGGAGATTTTCTGGGGGCTAATGGAAAGGAAGTTCCTTGCTCCTTTTTGGAAAAGCATTGTCATACTGTCTT